TGCTGAGTTTGGAGTGAGATAAATCCAGATGGAGTCATCCAGGATTCTGCTGGAAATACTGGTTTAGAGCTTAGGAGAGGTTGGAATAGGAGGGAAGACTCTTGAGTCATGGGTGTGAGTGGTGGCCGAAGTCCTAGGAATGGATAAGGTTTGTCCAGAGAGTATAAAGAACAGAAAGAACGCAACACTGGCCTCCTCTACGGCAGTGGCATGTCCTGGCTGAAGTCCTGGAGGCCACCCTCAAGCAGTGTGGCCCTGACCAAACTGTTTCCCCTCCCTGAGCTTCAATCCTGTAAAAGCAGAGGGTCACACTAGGCCCTTCTCTGATATTCACGGTTAATGGGAAGCCTGCTCAGGGCCAGGAAGGATGCTCCATGCTGAGAAGACACCCAGCGTAACGTGCAAGTCCTGGGCTTTCTAGTGGGAAAGGCAGACACATAAATAAGTCCTCCCCATATGCTGTGATTAACAGCTATCATAAAGACCAGAGCAAAAGGCAGCAGGAAAGAGCCCTGAGTGGAAGAGCCTGTCAGGGAGAATTGCAGCATGGCCCTGAGAGATGAAATTTGATCTTGGTCTTGAAGAACTAATAGAGACTTCCCAAACAGAGGCAAGGCCATGTGCAAAGGTACGAGAAAGTGAATGCACACAAGTACCCGGGGAATGGATTGCTCGGTGAGCTGGAGTGGAGAGGAGGTGGTGGGGCCAAGCTGGCCTGCTAAGGAGTTTACCATATGCCAGAGTTGATAACCAGCAAGATAATTAGCTGTTTTAGAGAGCTGAGTGGAAAGGAAAGGACCACTATCCACCCCTAGCAGCTGGTATTTACAAACGCTTCTCTCTCATCATGACCTGACCAGACACCAGATGACCTTATGAGGCTCTCCTTCAACATGCAAAATTTTTAAGAAACTTTTTTTAATAGTGACATAAATATGATGATGCACTATAACAGAAATGCTAACTATGGCTAATTATCCATAGCAGCATTCTGCAGGGGGGAAAAAGGAGCCAGGTTTAAAAGAGAGTTTAGAGTCATCTCATCCTGGAGCAAACCATTTTTGGGAAGCATTCTCAAGAGGCTCAGGCTCCCTGGGAAGGTCTCAGCCACTCCTGGGACTTGGGAGGAAACAATGACAGGGCCAGAGAGCTGGCAGCTTGTCTCCCACCAAATCGGATGTAGGCTGTTCAGATCCTGACATCACTCTTCCCCCACGATCTAGCCACTTGGTTCTTGTTTGCAATTCCACCGACTTCAATTATATTCTAAGAAGGCCTGGCATCTCTTGATTCCTCTCTACAAAGTCCAGCCTCCCGATCAATACTTTTGAACCTTGGAGCCCTCTTTTCCTCTGGCTGCCGTCAAGGTGCTTATATCCGTTCCCCTCTGATCCCCCACCCTCAGGCTTTTCTTGGCACCCGACTCTGACTTTCAAAATCTCTCTGTTTTGTCTCCCCCTCCAGAGAGTCCAAATACATTGCCAACAAGTTCATCTTCCTTTCAGATCACTATTTCTTGCTGCCTCGTGAACTTCTGTGAAAAAGAAAATACCAGGCAGACTGAAGGTCAAAGAGCTGAGAGTCGTGGCTGCAGGAGACACCACAGGGTGGCTCCGTCCTCCTGGCCCCCATGACACTTTTCTGTGCTCTCTCCTCTCCTCCAACATCCTCTTGCACTGGCTCACTTTTTCCTTTGCACACTCCAGCTCCCTGCCTGATTCTTCATGTCCAAGACCCCCCAAAACTACACCGGCATCAACCCATGGTACAAGCACCTCCTGGAGCCCTTAAAAGTGCCCAAGAGCCCAGCCAGCGTGGCTCAGCGGTTGAGCATGGACCTAGGATCCAGATCAGGGTTCGATTCCCCATCAGGGCACATGCCAGGGTTGCCAGCTCGATCCCCAGTAGGGGGCGGGCAGGAGGCGGGCAATCAATGACGACTCTCATCATTGATGTTTCTCTCTCTCTCCCTCTCCTCTCCTCTCTCTGAAATCAATAAATATACATTTAAAAAAAAAAAGTGCTGAGAGGCCCAATGCTCCTGCTATCCAGTCTCCACAAGAGTGGTCCCCCCACCCTCTCGCCTGACTGGGCAGCCTCATTTCCCTTCCGCAGCTCAGGCTTCAGAACAGATGACAGTTTTTAGATCCGACCTTACTTTGACCTCAATATGGTCTTTTAACTGGTGATCGAGTAAACAATGGCGAAGATGTCTGCGGGTTTTGAGGAGTCGAAAGAAAATGGAAACTCAAGAACGTCAAACATGTCTAGTTCGGTGAGAGGATTCAGCTCACACTTAATGTATGTGGATAAACATTCTCTTCACGTTGGGCAGAGAAATCCAAATATGGAAACTGGCTGCTGCCATATCTGCAAAAGGCAGAGGCCCAGTTGTCCCGGTTTCCTCGGAGAGAGTTTCAAGACAGAAGAGATGTTCTAGAAACTCAGATTCAACCCATGAAAAGCAACATTTATCATCCTGCTCCTCTGTCTTTCTCCATGCTACCAATGCCAAGCTGGTAATATGCATTATTCAGTGACTTAAACTCTCTCAGGGCTCCATTTGGCTTTCCTGTACCCACTTAAGGCACAGAGTCACTGTCAGAAGTCAAAGCTCATTAGTGCTGGAACCTAAATCCAATGCCCTTGAGATATAAAATGTAGCTCTAGACAAGGGCTTCCTGGCTCTGATTAATTCGTCATGACTCCTGGGTTCTCTCAGGACAGGTCTCACAAGCTCAGGATCACATTTGCTATGAAAAGGCACCTGGTTGAGGGAGGGATCCAGAAAATGAAGTAGTGAAACTGGGGCCAGGGAGAAGAATTTCCAGTACTCATCAAAGAAATTCAGATAAACCTGTGGGATCTGAGAATGACCCAGCCCCTTGGAGTGTATCATAAAAACAAGGACTGAAAAGACAATGCAAGAGCACCGTGGAAGCATTCTGGAGGTGACCTTGGTCTTCCCTCAGAATCATGGACTGTCGGGACAGGAGATTATTCATCCAATGGCCTCATTATACCAAGGAAAGAGATCTGGAGAGGGGAAATAAGTCTGTTAAAGTCACATAGCAGTTCTGAAATTAAAACCCAAATGGCCCTTCCTCCTTGCCCACTTCTTCCCTCTCACTGTCCATGGGAAGGTCCATATCCTTCCAGGCATCAGTACAAAGACTGAAGAGTAAAGCATCCAAGGGTCAGGCCGCAGGCAAAACGCACTGCCCTTCAAAAACACTAGGAAGGCCAAGTTCACTCCTGCTACCCCATCCTAGCTCCTAGAGACCCGCTCCCGTGAGAGCCCAGATGGTCACATACACTTGTCCTGGCTGGGCCAAGGCGACAGGGAACATTAGCAGGGGTTTGGAGAGAAAATTTTCAGCATTCTTCAGGATAATGTATGAATGTCTGATATTAAACTTGTACCCTTATATCTTATCCCAAAACACACACACACACACTTTTTCTCCAAACCAAAAGGAAGATAGAATAACAGAGAGGAGTGTTTCTCAAGCTTCATGAGCGTATGAAGCGCCCAGCCCAGAGATCATCTTGAAACGCAAATTCTCATTCAGCAGGCCTGGGATGGAGCCTGAGACTCCACACCACTCACCATTCCCAGGTGATTCTATGCTGCTGCTCTGAGGCCCACACACTGAGTAGCTAGGGGCAGACGTTACACAATCTTGTAATCAAACAAATCTGGGTTTTAATTCTGGTTCCACCACTTAGGAGCTTTGTGATTCTTGGACTGGTTTCCTAACATGACACTACCTCAACCGCCTCATCTCTGAAATGGAAATAAGAATACCTAAGAAGCACTTGATGATTACATAAGTTAACGACATGAAGCTTTTAACACAGTGTCTGGCATAGTATAGTAAGGGCTTGGTAAATGTCAGTTGCTGGTGCCTCTAAGATTCATGAGGACAGGGACAACATCTGTCTGGCTCACTGCCAAAACCCCAATGGCTAGGACTAGTAGGTGCTCAGCGGATGTTTGTGAATGAAGAAACGTATCTATAATACACCCACACACAAGCTCAATATTTACACACTTCCTTGGTTCTATGGCTTTCTGCGGGGAAACATAAAATATTTAGGACACTAGAACACTCCCACCAGTAACAAGCCAGCGTCTCAGAATCAAATTCAACATTAACCACCATGTATAACCACTGAAGACATATCATTTGTGATGCTATATATACTTGAGAAAATGTCTTCGCCGTAAACAAATAAAGACAACATCAGTGAGGAATCTGTACATCATTAAGAGAGATTACTGCCTCGCTCATTACTTATGCGGTTGTCTGCATGCAGATGTTATGACAAACTTAATTCGAAAACTAAGCTCATTTCCAAACCAAACGTAAAACTGCAAGGACAGACAAAACAATCCACTGTGAAGCGAGGTTATTTTTTAAAAGGGCCACCGGGGCAGTAATATATTCTCTTACATGTGCACACACTTGCTCAGGAAAAGTTAGAAACAAAAGAACTGTAAACAAACGGTAGAGCTTAATCTTTTAAAGCAGAGGCAGACGAGTAAATCCAAAATTCTTCAACAATCACAGATTATCTTCAGGCATCTCGTGAGGTGGCATCGTTTAAACAGATCTCGTGTCAGGGAGGCACTGTGCTGTGTATGGCACGTAGAGAAGAGAATACTATTGCCACCTACAGACAGAACTGGCACTCCCTTCACAAGAGCTGGCCAATCATATTTTAATGTGAGGGGGGGGGGAAAAATTCAACCAAGTCGCCTCCCTCCAACCTCTTTGAAACCACCACACCACATTACTTCATTTAGAATTTCTTTCAAGTCATACAATCAGCTCGAGGCATTCTGCCTCTCCATGAGCACCATCCTACTTCTAATTTCCCAGAAACACTGCGCCATTCAACTCCCTTCCTCTACGCTATTTGAGAGCCAAAGAGAACGCAAGCCAATGGATGTCAAGCAGAGAAGGGCCCCGGAGTGGAAGTGTAAATCTGCTTACCTGGTATGAAGGGGACCACCCGGAATATATCAGACAATCTGCTGTTTACTGGCTCATATGGGGAATCTTCGAGCAGATCGTTTCCTAAAAACAACAGGAAGACTGGGCTCAGATCTGGAACACAGACGTATTTCAGGTGGTTTTTGTTACTGAATCTGAATTCTAGTTATGTTATGATTGTGTAACAAAAAGATGCTGAAACTTTCAAAGATTTCAAACGCCTGTTTGGCCATGGTTGTTTTCCATTCCCTCTGCCTTTGTTGTCCCTGCTCTCCCCAGAGTGCCATAAAAACACTGAAGAGCAGCCCAGCCTGATCTTGCCAGAACACTCTCCCATTTTTGCAAAGGAATGAAGTCAGGGAGGAAGAAACCAGTGATATCACGTGCGCAGCTTGCCTCCAGGAGCCAATGGGAGAAAGGTGACTCACAGGAGGCCCCCATTCATTCCTTTGCAGGTACCCTGGCTATTAAACAGTCAAGTCTTTGAAATGGGTTTTCATTAGCAGGGTCTGGAGGAAGTGCCTGGCAGCCGATAGGACAATTGTGTCGATTACAAATTTTTGAGGTGTGTCTCAGTGGAGATGAAGGCACTGGATGTTTGTACTAGATTTACAACAGGAGCCACATCTGTCACAAGGGGACCAAAAAGACAGCCATTAGAATGGATGGCTGTGACAAGGGGGCCTTCCCCTCTCTGAGCCACTTCTGTCTTAACCAAGGTTGAACCACACCACCTGGCTCAAGACTCAGCTAATCGAAGATGACAAATGGTTTTTCCC